TCGCTTTGTAGAACACGAGGCCCTTCTGGAAATAATCTCTCAGCTCGCAACATCCTTGAATAATATTTCTTAGTCTCCACAGAGGATCGAGCAGTCATTGCAGACATTAAATCACCAGCTTTGAGTTTGTCTTCAATGATTATAGGATAGTCCTTGAAATTCAGAGTCACATTGTACGCCCAAGTAAGCTTTAAGATCTACAACCTCCCCAATGCGTTTCCTTGTAATGAAGGCTACCGAGCACACCTCACCCTCAAATTCTCAGTACAAGAAGAGGCATCGAAGTTTATTTTAAACGCGCCAACCTCAGAAGTTTTCGTTTTCTTTCCCCTTGGAACTATTTAAGTATTCGAACTTTCTAAGTGGGCCTCAGCCGCCCTTCTTAAGACCATCTGAGGACTGAGGGGGATCAGTCAAGTTATTGAAACTACTTTTATTTCTGTTCTTCCAATTTTCCACCAAAGGTTCCATAGAGTAAAAACACCAATTTTCCTTATAAAGGTGATCTTCTCCCGAGTTAATCTTGGACCACCATTCTTTTAGAGAGGTGTGTGTGCGTGTCATTCAGTCTCTCAAAAGTCAAAAGGAGGAGATAGGAACTGCCAAGTTTGCCTAGCAAACTTACAATTTTTGAAAATGTGATCCAAGTCCTCCTCTTACTCTTATTTCGATGAGAGCCTATTGTTTTAGGAGAAGACTTTTAATTTTGGAGGACAATTGATTCTCCAAACATTTAAATTCCAATTAAAAGATAGGGGAGGACCATCGTCATTGATAGGTGGGTAATTCCTATTTCTTTTTTTTTTTAATGGAGGACGTCCTCTTTCTCTATCTGTATCTCATGTTTTCGTGGATTGATTCTAATAAAGAAAGCGGTATATAGTTCAATTTCTTCTTCGAGATGATATTTTATGGATTAATTTTAATAAAGACAACCAGTTTATACAAGCTCACATTGCCTTACTCTCTTGCACTCAGAATCCCAAGAAAATTATCCTTAGTTATTAAGGATTAAGCTCTCAGTCTTCATCTCAAGCCTAGTCTAAACCCTCTCTATTACTTGGCTAATTTGACTGTTGGAGTCTCTGCCCCTGGGATAACACTTGGGCCCTCTGACGTGTACTAACTGAAATCAAATCGATCAGTTTGCTTAATCGGATTTTTCGATTTGATTTTCTTGGTTCGCTTTACATTTGTTTCTAGTGTTTCCAATGTGGTGATGAATTTCTCTTTCTTGAGATTGAATGAGGTAAGGTGCCAACTGGCTGATTGAAAAGGTATCTTGCTGTATTGTAGTATAGAGACTTGGGGTCGAATCTTGCGGGTACAAGTTCATCAATGTAGTTGGATCCAAAGGTCTGGTTGTAGCAAAGATACTTCCAACGAGTTTGAGATCGCGAGGCTAATTGTGTATTACAAGAAGCTTTTACAACAATTGCCAAGAGTTCATGTGGGAGAGATCATGGGTGCTTAGATATGTCTAATGATTAAAATATCTATACAATACAAGGCATATCATAATATGAATGGACATGCAATCAATACACTATTTGAAATTTAAATTTTAAATTTTGCATATAAATAATTTTATTAAGAAAAATTGTCCAAAACTCATCGTGACTTTTAAAGCATTTCTTGAAAAGTGTTCAAGAAACCATGCCAGTAATTTGACATTAAAAAGACTAATGATGTCAATAGATTACCATTTTACCCTGTGCCTCAACTTTATGCCTCTGTCTCCTCTACCACTTCGCCTTTATCTCTCTATCTCAGTTCTTCTCCATAACCACAGGTGTCGTTGCGGATGTCACTGGAGAAGCCCCATTAGATAGTTAATTAAGTTGTAGATTTCGAAATCCAACTACTGCTCATGGATCTAACGAGAGCCAGATCACTTCATCGCCTTTGTGGTAGGTTATTACCTGCCTTGAACAGGGGCTTCTCAAGATCACATCTACGCCCCACATGTACATTTCAGCGCAGAAGATGTTCTGAATACACGATTGAGATATGCTATGAGGCGTTTGTGGGGCGCAAAGCGGCAACACATTGGAGTTGGGACAACCTTTTTGCACCAAAGGGAAGCTTGATTCTGGTAGTGCTTTTGTCAGAGTTATGACTTATAACGACAGGGGTTGGCTTTGTTTGAAGCGTATCGAATCTATTTAGTATAGTTGTTTCAATCTTTTATCAGTACTTCGTCGTCTTCAACTTTAGGGTTACTTGAAGAACTTTCGGATCACCGGCGGTCATGATTACGACAGCTTTCATTCTCGCCGGAGATAATGCCGTTGGGGGATAACGAGAACTTGGTACTTGGTAAGGTACTAGAACACTAGTTTAGACTTTAGAGCATCAGTACGGAAACATTTTTCTAGTGTTGATGCGTTTGAAAAAGTTAAAGATTTGATGGTGTTGAATAGATTCGAACTCCAAAATTTTCAATTTATAGCTATAGCGGCGTCAAATCCTGAATTTGTTGGGGATGAAAAACTTTCTCATCTTCAAGCTCCAAAATTTTCTACATTCTCTGTAAATCGAGGTCTTACAACGGTAGAATTTCGCGTTAGACAGTCGAAGAACGTCTCCCAATTTTGCATTTTCTACATTTTTTCTGTAATTTCTTTTGCAAAATATTCTGTATTTTTGTTTGCAGTCTATTATATTTTACATTTTCTATAATTTTCTACAATTTTTCGATTTTCTTATTTTTGAGGAAATATACATTCTTTGAAAATATTTTTATCATTTGATGTGTTTTATGCATTTTTTTTATCATTGAATGTATTTTCTACGATTGTAACTATTTTGGTTATACATCAATGAGGGTGATTCAGCTGACCAACCAGAAGAGACACATGCAAGGATGGATTCGAGCTGAATATCTGGCTATTCGAACTCGACTCGAGTCAAAAGCTTGAAAGTTCGAGCTCAACTGTCTCTAATTGTAGGTCTCCCTTAGTTGCTGAAGTGCCGAGCCGAGGTCTCCCTTAGTTGTTGAAGTGTCAAGCCTAGGTCTCCCTCAACCACTGAAGTACCGAGTCGAGGTCTCCCTTAGTTGTCGAGGTGTCGAGTTGAGGTCTCCTTCAGTTGCCGAGGTGTCGATCTGAGGTCTCCTTCAACTATTGAGGTGCCAAGCTGAGGTCTCTCTCAGTTGCTGAAGTGTCGAGCTGAGGTCTCCCGTAGTAGCCAAGGTGACACCCTACGTACATATATACTCGATTAGGCTCGCGAGCCTCATGAGCCGAGCTTTATAAGCTTGAGCTCAGTTCAATTAGTAAACAAACATATATATTAGGCTCGAAGCTTTGTTTAGATTGAGTCAAGTCGAGCTTGAACAGCTCGTGAACAACTCGGTTCATGGCCACCCCTAGAAGCGTGGCAAGCCCGAAATGTTTGATGACACCTCAGTGCCATGTAGAGCAAGTCGGCTAGATCAGAGATGACCTAAACCGACTTGCCCAGCTTAGACCTCGACCTGGAGAGGACAATAGAACGCCCCTCGATATGGCAGCACACACCACCTTGGGAGAGCTAGAGAGGCCGGCTTGACTCTGACTTGAGTTAGTTGAGGCCTTGATTAGCTAACTTTTTCGAGTATCGAGCTATCGACCTACGTGTCGGATCACCCTTATCCGGGGTAATGTGACATATGGTCCCGAGTCAGCTATCGACATGTTACCTACTTGGTGTGGACGACCTCAGCTCCCTCATGACTCGGAGAGACTAGATAAGGATTACCATCCACATAGGATGAATGCGCCTCAAAGATAGCAGACTAAAAACGCTCGCTGTGCCTAGACATCCCGAACACGAAACTCAGACCCCACACCTATAAAAGGACCTCAACACTCCTTCACAAGGTATGTGCAATTAAGTGCATTGTCTCTCTTTTAGATCTCTCAATACTCTCTTACTCTCTTGCACACTTTAGCTTAGCTAACTTAAGCACCAGAGTGCTCTCCCTGGGTCTAAACCCCTGGACACTTTGATCTTGTCTATCTTGCAGATTGATCCGCTTACCTCAGCACTAGTCATCCAAGCTATCCTCCAACAAGGAAGCAGGTGATTTCGAGCAGCATCACTATTATATTTTTACTATTTTTTGTATTTTTTTGGCATTAGCTGAAATATATAATTTTTGTTTTTACTATTTTATGCAATTTCTGATTTTGGTTGAAATATATATCTTTAACTTTTTATAATTTTGTGTTTTCTCCAATTTTTATCATTTAATGTATTTTCTAAAACTTCTATATTTTTCTTGTTTCTTATGCAATTATGTTTTTCTTTATTTTTTGAATTTTTTACAATTTGTTTTGCATTTTCTTGAAAATTCTTGCAATTTTCCTATATTTTTATGTTTTTTACAACCTCTTGTATATTTTATTTAATTTTTTTATTATTTCCTATGTTTTTTTTGCAATTTCTGATGTTTTACACTAAACATAGAAGATAGTTGGCGGTTAAGGACATTTTAGTCATAAAAAAGCTGATTAACCATTCAAGGATAGTTTATTCTTGAAAATTGCATTTACACTAATGGTGGTTTAACGGATGATGAGTTTTGAAAAATCAAAGTTCATTGACATGGGTTTCTCTGAAAAGTTATGATATATAATTTGTTGAAGATAATGTGCTCACGTCCAACTCAGATCAATCCAAGCTGCTCACGTAACAAGTTGGATTAGTTCTGTTGTACAACCTAACTAGACAACTTGTATATCCACTGATCAATCAGAGTAAAACTCTGAGTTCAGTTCTATTGTAACTTATCTTCTTATTTATCATTTTAAATAGAACAACCGAATCACCCAATATCTGTGATCGGTTTTCTCTTCAAACTCCTATTGTCTTTCATGGTATCAGAGCCTCATTAGTTTGAGACCATGTTCACTCAATCCGGTGTAGTTGCATCAACCAATGCTCATCCATCTTCGTCGCCCTCTACACCTGTTATTTTTGGAAACAACAGTTTCCCAAACACCATCTAGGTAAAGATGGATGGTCGTAACTATCTACTCTGGAAATTTCAAATACTTCCAGCATTGGTCGGAGCAGAACTAACGGGGTATGTAGATGGTTCTCTCACATGTCCCTCTCGGTACCTTTCGGATAACACTACCCCCAACCTAGCTCATTCGTCGTGGGTCAAACAAGACCAAATCTTGCTCAGCTGGCTCCTTGCTACTCTCACTGAACCAGTGATTGCACAGCTGGTTGGATGCTCTACAAGTCGAGATGTTTGGTGCGTGTTAGAGAACTTATATGCGTTTAAATCAAAGGCTCAAATTACCCAACTTCGGAACCTGCTTCTACTTGTCAAAAAGGATGGTGATTCCATGCATGCTTACCTTCAAAAAATCAAAAACGTCAATAACAGTTTGGCAGCTGCTGGATCACCTCTTTCAGACTCGGATATTACTCACCATGTTTTAAATGGGCTCGGGGCTGAATTCGTGCCTTTGTCACATCCATTTAGACTCGATCTAATGATCTCAGCTTTGATGAACTCCAGGCTCTTCTGATTAATCAGGAGATTCGAATTGAATCTCCTATGCAGTCTCTATCTTCGTTTCCCTCTGCTAATTACTTGTCCACAAATTCCAGCCCAAAGCCTCGACAGTTTGAGAAAGATTCCAAGGACTCCAGCAACACTGGTAAGTCTAAATATGCCAATAACCCATGTCAGATCTGTGGGGGTTGCAATCATTTGACTTTCTGGTGTTGTCATCGGTACAATCAACACTTTAAACCTAAGTCCAAGAAGACCGCTGCACCCAATGACTCTGCACTGGCAGAATATAACACGTCTCTGAATGCTTCAGATGAGGATGACTGTTGGTACCCAGACTTCGGGGCAACTAATCACATAACCTCAGACTTAAGCAAACTACAACTGCATTCAAAATACACTGGTCTTGATCAGGTCACTGTTGGCAATGGTGAAGGTTTGGCAATATCTCATACTGGTTCCAGTACTATATCATCTGCCTCTCGTTCTTTACTTTTGAAAAACATCTTACATGTGCCTAATATACAAAAGAACCTACTCTTTGTGGCTCAGTTTTCTTCTGATAATGACGTTTACTTTGAATTTCACCCTCACACTTGTATTGTTAAGGATCGGTGATCAGGAACACCTCTACTTCAAGGGACAACTAAGCATGGTCTTTACAGTCTACCTTTGCATATGAATAAAGCTGATGAATCAAATAAAGCTGCATTTCTCGGTGTTCGGACTTTAGTAGATACTTGGCACTCTCGTCTCAGGCATCCATCATTAGCAGTAGTTAAGCATGTTGTGAGTCGTTTTAAGCTTCTAGTATCTAGCATGTCTTCTTCCTTCTGCTCAGCATGTCCACAAGGGAAAAGTCACCGATTGCATCTTCCACAAACCAATTCGATATTTGTGGATTTTCCCTCTTTTTTCAAAAATCAGATGCTCTTAGTGTATTTATTAAATTCAAACAACATGTTGAACACTTGCTTGGCCATCCTATCCGACTGTTTCAGTCTGATGGGGGAGGTGAATTTTGTACTTTTCGTTCCTATCTGGAAAAGGAAGGTATATCCCATCGCTTCTCTTGTCCCCATGTGCAATCACAAAATGGAAAAATCGAACGCAAGCACAGACAAATTGTTGAAACAGGCCTTACCTTGCTGAATCATGCTTCTGTTCCGCGCACTCATTGGGTTGAAGCTTTTGAGACTGCGGTGTATCTACTCAATTGACTGCCCACTCGTGCTTTCCATGGCAAAACTCCCTATAAAACTATTTTCAGTAAGACTGCAGATTACAAATTTCTAAAAACCTTTGGCTGTTTATGTTTTCCATATATTCGCCCTTATATGACTCATAAGTTGGACTATTGATCAAAGCCATGTGTTTTTATGTGCTACAACCCCTTTCATCGTGGCTATAGATGCTTGGATCTTGCAACTGGGTGCTACTTCATCATTGTGCATGCTCAATTTAATGAAACTTCCTTTCCTTTCAACGACTCAAGCCCATCCATTTCAAATTCTGAGAGGTCCACAACACCCTTAGTGTCGCCGGTTTTACTGACTTCATCATCAAATGGGTATGTTGCTTCTAATAATGCGTCCATGCTTCTCCCAGATTTGTCGTCTAGTGAACCACCCACTAATTCTGACAATGGGCATGTACTCAACCTAGGTTCATCTTCATCCAACTTGGATTTGCCCTCCTCCATGGGCCCATGCATATCACCTGCTGCGTCTCTACAACCTCTGCAAGCCCAAAATATTCACCCTATGACTATACGAGCCAAGGCTGGCATTTTTCGCCCCTCCAAGAAATACTCGTTGGTCTCTACTTGGTATCCTTTATCTGAGGTGAAACCCACATGCTTCTCATCTGCCAATCGCCATGCCCATTGGAGAGCTGTTATGCAGGATGAGCTCGATGCACTACTACGGAGTGGTATATGGGATTTGGTCAAGCCCAAGCCCAATGCTAATGTTGTGGGTTGTAAGTGGGTTTATTGTATCAAATGAAAACCTTATGGCACTATAGACTGCTACAAGGCACGACTGGTTGCCAAGGGGTACAATCAGCGTGAAGGCCTAGACTACAGTGAAATGTTCAGCCCAGTTATTAAGTCCACAACCCTTAGGGTTATTCTCAGTCTTGCTGTTTCTCAACACTGGCCCCTGCACCAGCTAGACATACAAAATGCCTTTTTACATGGAGAATTATCTGAAGAGGTTTATGCAATAGCCACCCGACTTTATTGATCATGATCATCCAAATTATGTGGGTCGCTTACGCAAGTCCCTCTATGGGCTCAAACAGTCCCCTTGGGCCTGGTATTCAAAGCTCAGTTAATTTCTCACTGATGAGGGATTTGTCATGTCTAAATCTGATGCATCACTATTCATCTCTGCTCATGATACTACACCTCTGTATGTATTGGTCTATGTTGATGACATCATTGTCACTGGGCCTAACTCGAATGCCATCTCCACTTTACTTCAGCAAATGGGCTCTTGCTTTGCACTCAAGGATCTCGGCCCACTTCATTATTTTTTGGGTATTGAAGCCATACACACCAAATCTGGGCTCTTTCTCTCTCAAAGAAAATATATGCAAGATCTATTACAAACTCTCTCTATGGATGGCATCAAGCCCATTAAAACACCTATGGCGTCCTCCACTCAGCTCTCTTGCAATGATGGTGATCCCCTTCCGGATCCCACCACTTATAGGCGTGTTGTTGGTGCTCTTCAATATCTGCTATTCACCCGCCCTGACTTGGCTTATGTAGTCAACAAGGCGTGTCAATTTATGCATGCTCCTACTACTACTCATTGGGCCTTTGTTAAGCGTATCTTCCATTATGTCAAGTATACTATTGATGCAGGCCTTTGCATTCAACCGTGTGCTTCTTTTGATGTCCAAATATTTTCTAACTCTGATTGGGTTGGCTGCCCCGATGATAGGCGATCACACGGTGGTTTTTGCATCTACATTGGTGACAATATTGTCTCATGGTCTTCCAAGAAGCACACAACTATTTCATGCTCTAGCACGGAGGCTGAGTATTGCAGCCTCGTCCTCGCAACATCTGAGACCATTTGGCTGTGCTCCTTATTAAATGAGCTGGGTGTGACACCTTCCCAGGCTCCCACTCTATGGTGTGACAATATTGGCGCCACGTACCTAGCGGCTAACCTAGTTTTTCATGCACGCACTGAACACATAGAGTTAGACTTTCACTTTGTGCGTGAGAAGGTTGCCACCAAATCTCTGCATGTTCGTTACATCTCCTCTCAAGATCAAATTGCAAACATCTTCACAAAACCTCTTGGCGGTCCTAGGTTTTCCTTCCTCCAATCCAAGCTTCGTGTTGTTTCACCTACCTTCAGCTTGCCAAGGGATGTTGAGGATAATGTGCTCACGTCCAACTCAGATCAGTCCAAGCTGCTCACGTAACTAGTTGGATTAGTTCTATTGTACAACTTAACTAGATAACTTGTGCCGCAACAATCAACATTGCTCTAGTTTTCATCTTCTGGTTATGGGTAGGCTGATTTACTCATCCTTTCTGGGTTATGGGGGTCGGAGTCAGCAGTTGAATTGAAAGTTGGAAAGAAGAAGCGAGAAGAAAGCGAATTTGTTCGTCAGGGTATAATATTCTTTGTAACTTTTTCATTGGATATAATGGTAAAGATATTAGTATTTTCCCCTTTGAGAAATTGTATAATACTCATTATGGTTTTTCAACATTTCTTTTAAACTTATCATAACTTTTCGAAACCTCTATGAAACCCCATGTAAATGAGCTTTTGTTTTTCAAAACTCACCATCCGTTAGAGCACCATTAGTATTCATTGATAGAAATTGTCGATGCGAGCATAAATACAATTTTTATGATGATATTGCCCTTGAATGATGATTCAACCTTATTAAATATATCTTTATGACTAAAATGCCCTTATGCACCCAACTGTCTTGTACATTTAGTGTAAAACATCAGAAATTGTAGAAAAAATTTGAAAAATAATGAAATAATTAAATAAAAGTATAAAAGAGAAACTGCAAAAGACATTAAAAAGTTGCACAAAAATCACAAATATATTTTCAGCCAAAAATAAAAAATACAGAAAATGCATAAAATGATAAAAAATAAAAAATATATGTGTTTCAACTAAAAAAAGCAAAAGTTGCAGAAGACAGTTACAACAAAATAAAAATTAATAAATATATATTTCAGCTAAAAAATAGAAATTACAAAAAAATACATAAAATAAGAAAAAACTAATTGAAAAATTATATGTTTCAACTAAAAAAAAATCTACAAACGATAATTGCAGAAAATCATACCAATTTCAAAACTAAAAAATCTAAAAACAATAATTGCGGAAATTATAGAAAATCATACCAATTTCAAAAAAAAGTGGAAATTTCAAAGAATGACAAAAATAAAAAATTCAAAAATATATATTTCTGTCAGGTTTCAAGTTTTTAACTAAAAATGAAATTAAAAAAAAGAGATTTTGATAAAAATATTTCAAAATTGCAAAGAACACAAAAGCTGCCTCTGTTGAGTAGCACTGGCCATTCTCTGTGACCCAATAGACTAGCATAGGGTGGTGTTGGAAAACCATAATCTTCGTCGGAAAGGTCTCTTCAATGGACGTCTTCCTTGCCGTGTTGTTGAGCCTTTAGAGGCTCTGTCATTGCTCTAATGGCACTCCTCGTCTTCCTCTCTACCATTGGACCAAATTTCAAGGTGAGTTCCTTGGCAAAAAGGGAAGAGGTGGGGGTTTCAAAGAGGAAGAGAATGGTGGGGCAGAGGTGTTGGGATGTCCTCCTCATGAGGTGGGACCCACAAATAAATAAAGACAAAAAATAAAAATGGACAAAAGGGTAAATCAAGTAAAAAGCGCCTTTTGTATTCTTTGGCTTGTCTTGCAAGCCAATACATCTTTTTGGTGTCCAATGAATTGGGAGAGCTCACTCTCCATTCTCTAAATTTCAACAGCTCTCTAGAAAATAACAGAGAATAGAGAAGGAGTTTTCAAAAGAAGGGTTTGGAAGAAGAAGGTGTTTTACAAGGGCTGAAACGAAGTATACAAATCCGTTTTCAACATCTCTTCTTGTTTCCATTGTTGTGTTTCCACCTTTGGTGAGAGATTTCTTATTTGTTGTTCATTTTATTGATGTTTTTATTGTTGGAATCCAATAGCTTTCTTGATGTTCATCATCTAGTTGTCACTAGATAGAAAAAACATTTATTCCATTTCTATTGTTGATAGTGGATGATTTAGATTTCGGTCTCGTGGTTTTTACCCTCACATTGAGGGGTTTTTCATGTAAAAACTTGGTGTCTACTACTGTTGCTTGCTCTATTTTGGTTATTTGTTTTATTACTACATACTTGTTATTTATTGGTTAAGATATCCTTGATTTGCACAAGGAAAAATATAGGGATTTTCCCAACAAAGTGGTATCAGAGCTCTTGGTTCTTGTGCAAATCATGGAAGGAAATTCGGTTAGGATGATTTCATTGAACGGAAGCAATTGGTCTCTTTGAAAATCAAAGATGAAAGATATGTTGCTCTCCAAAGACTTGTATGCACCATTGAAAGGTGAACAAGGCAAGCCCAAGGATATGTTAAGTGACCGATGTGAAATTCTTGATTTGAAAGCCGTTGCATGCATTCAACAAAGGTTGGATGATAGCATTTATCATCTTGTGGCAAATGAAACTTCAACTATTCCTCTTTGGAACAAGTTGGAAGAGTTGTATGATAAGAAAATCGCCATCAATAAGGCTTTCTTAATAAGGAAGCTCGTAAATTTGAAGTAAATGGAGGGTTCGTCCATAACCAAACACTTGAACTAGATGCAAGATGTTGTAAATTAGTTGGCTTCAATGAAAATGATGTTGGATGATGAGCTCCAAACCTTACTATTACTAGGTTCATTGTTAGAAAGTTGGGAGACGCTTGTGATGTCTCTTAGTAATTCTACACCCGAAGGAAAAGTCACAATGAGTATGGTAAGAAATAGTTTGCTCAATGAAGAAATTAGAAGGAAATCATTGGACACTAGTAAATCAGGTGCACATATTACAGAAAACCGGGGTAAAAGTCAAAACCGAGGTCCATACAACTGTGACAAGTCTAGAGGTAAATCTAAGTCAAGAAAAGATATCACTTGCCATTATTGCAATAAGTCGGGGCACTTCAAGAGAGAATGCAGAAGGAAAGGAGACGACTAAAGTTGCTTCATATGGTGAGGTTATGGTTTTTGCAGGATGTGAAGAGTCTTGTTTTAGCCTTACTTGCCAAGACATTGATTGGGTTATTGACACTGGTGCATCATACCATGCTACTTCACACAAGGAACTCTTTGCTACTTACAAATCAGGTGATTTTGGTATTTAAAAATGGGCAACAACTACACATAAAAAATTGTGGGGTTAGGTGATGTATAAATAGAGACCAATTTTGGTTGTAAATTGGCTCTCAAGGATGTGAGCCACATACTGGATCTTCGCTTCAACCTAATTTCTGCAAGAAATTTAGATGAAGAAGGCTACAATAACAATTTTGGTGAAGGAAAATGAAACTCACCAAAATGATTTTTTATAGTGGCAAAGGGGTGAAGATGTTGTACTCTTTACAGAATGAGAGCTCATTTATGCAAGGGGCAACTGAATGTTACAGAAAAAGACTCCTCCAACCTATGGCATAAGTGACTTGGTCACATGAGTGAGAAAAGACTTCAAGTTCTTACCAAGAAACAAAATAGATTTTCTTTTAAAAAAAATCATCTTCATAGAAAACAAAATGTTTTAGAATTGATTCATTCCGATGTATGTGACATGAAAGCCAAGTCTCTTGGTGGTGCTTCTTACTTTGTTACATTCATTGATGATGCATCTAGAAAAATATTGGCATATACCATGAAACATTAAATAAGGTTTTAGAGATATTTAAATATTTTCATGCTAGAGTTGAAAGAGAAACAAGAAAACTCCTCAAATGCATCCGTACATTCAATAGAGGTGAATACATCGGTCCATTTGAGGAATATTGCAAAAACGATGGTCTTCGACATGAACGGTAAGTTCCTAAGACTCCACAACATAATGGTGTGGTTGAACGGATAAACCACACCATTGAGGAAAGAATTAGGTGTATGCTTTCACATGCTAGATTGCCAAAATCTTTTTGGGGAGAGGCAATGCGTATTGCTTGTTATTTAATTAACTTATCTCCTTTAA